AAAAAAAAAAAAAAAAGTTTGACCCGGAAAACTGTGCTTGGCAGAAGTAACATTTACAAATAAAGAGTTAACACTGTAGAAGTTATAAAAATAAAATTTTGGTAGACAAAAAAATGATTGATAAATCTTTGACATAAAATTTACATGGAAAAGAATATTAAGAATATCAGTAAAATAAAAATGGAAATGAAATAAATATAAAGGGATTTAACCAAGATGTATAGCAAACTGATCAAGAAATCTGTTTAGTTGAATGTCACTTAATATTTAGAATCCACTGCAAGACACAGTAAAATCAAGGAATTAAATTGGCTTAATGGACTATACCCAGAAGATACATCAAAATGCTCAGCAGATCCAAATATCTTTTTGGCAAAATACTGACACTCTTGGTTAGTATTTTGAGAGGCAGTAGGTAGTTGGGACAGGGGATAACACTGTGAAGGAAAGAAAATAACCAAAGATCACAAGATATAGGCAAGAACATAAACAGACCTCATGAGAATTCTGGAATAAAAAGAAAGGAGAAACAGCTACATACTTACTTAATCATTCTACAAAATTAATTATGTATTATATGCTAACTGCTGAAGTAAGTACTGGATACACAGTAATGAATACAGCAGACAAGATTCCTGCTCTTGAGGAGCTTACAACCTACTGCAAAGGTTTGCAAAATACAGCCCAGGGCCAAATCCAAACTAAGAATGGTTTTTGTTTTTCAAGCATTGTTTAAAAAAAAAAAATCAAATAAAAATATGCAACAGAAAATGTGCATGCTTCCAAAAGCCCAAACTATTTACTATCCGGCTTTTTACAGAAAAGTTTGCCACCTCTGGGCTAAAGGAGAAATACACCTCAAACAAACACAAATAAGTATGAAATTATAATTATGCTGAGTGCTAAGGAGGTACAAATGGCAACATGAGATAATCATGTGGGCTAGGTGTTTAGAGAAGGCTTCTCTGAGAAAGCGATATTTAGGTTAATGCTTAAAGATAATTAAGGAATTAGCCAGGTGGAAGACTGGTGGGAGGAGGGGGGATGGCTGGTACGTTTTGTGCAAAAGGAAAGGCAGTAAAAATTCCTTAGTAAAGAACAGCACAGTTAAGACCCTGAAGGCAAGGCCAGTGTGACTAGATTGAGTGAGGACGGTGGGATAAAGTGGGGTTGGAGAAACTGGCAAAGCCAGATAACAAACAGTGTGGTAGGGCATGCTAAGGATATGAACTCTATTTTAAATGCAATGGAAAGCCGCTGAAAATTTTAGGTCTGAAAGGGATATGATCAAATTTGCCTGTAGAGAAAAAAATCACTGGGGCACCTAGGTGACTCGGTCAGTTGAGTGTCCGACTCCTGATACCGGCCCAGGTCATGATCTCACAGTTCATGATATCGAGCCCTGTGTCTGCCAGCGTGAAGCCTGCTTGGGATTCTCTCTCTCCCTCTCTCTCTCTCTTCCCTCCCCCAAATAAATAAGCATTTTTAAAAAATCACTATGGCTGAGTAAAGAATTATAGGTATCTCTTGCTATCCAAATCCAGCACAAATTCAGATGGTAAGACATACTATGTTCCCACATAAGTTTGAGTTTTGTTTGGCAAATAGAGTCTGAATGGTAAAAAATCTGTCCAAAATTTTATTTGAATCTACTTGGTACCAGAGAGTGAAAGTTGGAAGAGTGAGAATTTGGATCAATTTCTGATTTGGAGAGTTTCTGACCACTATGGTGAAATTAGCAGATCCTAAGAAGGAACCCCTTCTGACTCACACATACAGAAATGCTAGATAAAATATCCTCCCCATACACATTTGTTTAAAAAAACAAAAAAAAAAAGAAAGGTGAATTCTTTTTAAAAAGTTAAGGTCATGGCAGTAGTAGGTGTCGTGGTGAGGGGGTGCTGACTTTTGGATGAGTTTAGTTGGGTTAGTTCTGAACATTAGATAAGACTCTAGAGAGATGGAATTAAGGTCTTGGGCTCTGTTGGAGAGGCAGAAACAAATCATAAAACAAGAATAGGACATTTTGAAAGAGAGAGATTGGATGACAAACATCATAAATGAATAACAAACATCAACATTTAGTGCCTTAATTCGAGTGTCACACAAGTACAATCTTACTTTCAGTGAATGGAATAATTTTAGAAAAGCACTTGCTCCATTAGCAAAGATATTACCTAACAAAGGTCCAAACCTTCTGATTCAATACCAGGGTAGAAATAAAGCTATAGGGTATAAACCTGATTTGATCCTCTATCTAGTCAAATGCTTTCTTATTTCCCATTTCAAGTCAAAAGCATGCAAGGCACTTCTTAGAGTAGATCAAAACACAGCTTGGATGTTCTCTCTAAAAACTCTCAAGTTCAAATGTTCCCTAGATTGAAAAGCTACACATTAATATGACTTTCCTCAATTCCTATAAAACAAGTTTCTATTCATGTTTACAAAATATTCAACTTATAGCAGTTGATAACATCAAGTTGGTATGTTTCTGAACACATGATTTTCTGTGTAGAAACAGCTTCATGTGTCGTTATACAAAATTGTTGAGGGCTGGTAGGGGAATAGGGAGTAACCGCTTAATGGGTGTGAGGTTTTATTTGTGGTGATGACAATGCTTTGAACAAGACAGAGGTGATGGTTGTCTAGATGGATGAAACGGGGAGACTCCAGGTCCTGAGGCCTCAACCCAACATGTCCCAAAGATGTGGCTGAAGGCTCTTGGTCTTGTCACCACAAAGAATTCGAGGACAGGCACAACACAGCAGATGAGCAACACAAGAAAGTTCATTAAAGCAGAAGTACACTCATGAGATTTGAGTGGGCAAACGCCAAGACAGAGAGACAGAGAGAGAACGAGCAAGAGACCTGCACCTGCAGGGGGTTGGGTTTCTATCACTTAATGACAGGTGTTAACTTGGGGGAGGAATATTCATTACTTGAGGTGGGGTTTTCTTGAAAGCAAGGTTTCACACTTTTTTTTCATATTTGGTCAGGGGTCACTGGCCTATTTTGTCAGTCATCTTGGGCCTATCTGGTTTGTTCGGGCTTCTTGTAGCTTTGTTTTGAGATCCTGTCAGGACAGGCCTCTGACTTTCCAGACAGCCAGCCCTGTCTTCTTCTTTACTGACCTCCAGGCATCCTGCTTGAACCTAACCAACTGCCTACTCTAATAGTGGTACAACACTGTGAATGCACTAAATGCCATTGACTTGTTCCCTTTAAAACTGTTTTGATGTTATGGGAGCTTCACTTCAAAACAAACATTTGTTGAGGACAAAGGCATGGTGTCTACCTGAAAGTACCTGGTTGGCTACTCTATGCCTCACACAATACAGCATTCTAGATGCTGCTAGCCATCTAACAAATATATGCAACTTCTCACAAAGAAAATGACAAGACAGCAAGCAGAAAGCAACAGAAACTCAACATCACCAGGAACATAGTCGGTTATACACAAATGATGCTACCTTTACATATTTTGGCATACCACAAAAATGATTCTTCTCTGGGGCACCCAGGTGGCTCAGTTGGTTAAGCATCTAACTCTCGATTTTGGCTTAGGGCATGATCTCATGGTTCATGAGTTCGAGTCCTGCATTGGGGTTCTCCACTGACAGAGTGGAGCCTGCTTAGGTTTCTCTCTCTGCCTCTCCCCTACTTGTGCTTATGTGCATCTCTCTTTCTCTCTCAAAATAAATAAACAAACTTGAAAGAAAAAGATTCTTCTCTAAATGTGAAATTTGGAAGAGTATCTAAAAATTGTTCTTTTAACAACTCTTTTCATTCCACAATTCCAAAGACTAAGGATCTAATTTTATGCTGATTTTTGATCTGAGATGTAAACACATAAAACCCAATAGAAATAAGAGGTGAATGTCTTACCTCTGAATTCAAGTCCCCGCAGCTGGAAAGTGACTAGCCCGTTGCCTATCTCTATAAGGTGTACTAATGCATTGAGGTAGTCAGAGGCAAGAATGAAACAGTCCCCCGTACTGTAGTTTCCCCACCGTCCTAGGAGCAAATCACCACAGAGACTGTGTTGTAGGGATCTGGTTAAATGTTCATAAAAGATGGAATTCAGATTGTTGTCATCTGATCCTGTAAGAAGGGATTAAAAATGTTACACTTTACCCTAATCTCTGTCACGTCAACAAGATTGTTAAAAATATTAAAGCTAATTTCTAGTTAGGGAAATTTTTTTTGACAAGAAAAATATTAATACCCTAACAATTTCTATTTAAAAATGAAACAGGGTAATGAGAAGAGGTTCAGAATTTAGAGTTACAGGGGTGCCTGGTGGCTCAGTCAGCTGAGCCCCAAATTCTTGACATCACCTCAGGTGGGACTGAGCCTTGCATCGGGGCTCCTCACTGAGCATGGAGCCTGCTTGGGACTCTCTCTCTCTCTCTCTGCCCCTCCCCTGCTTGTGCGCTGTCTCTTTCAAAATAAATAAATAAACTTTAAAAATAATATAAAATCTTCAAAACATTTTTTTAAAGTTAAAAAAAAAAGCATGCATATTAATTCAGGATTTGGCCTTTTTTAACATACACAATGGCATCATTTGCATCATAAGAATTCCAAGCCCCTTACACAAGGACACATTCCAAGCACATAGAGCTGAGATGGCTGTTTTATCTACCAGTATGTGGTGACAACAGTCGTTATTATCAAGTAACTAGTCCTACGTAATCCAATTTTAGAGTTACAAAAACCATTTGATTATTAATTAGGTTTCTCAAGTAGACAGAGTATTTGAAGGAATCTGAGAGTCAAATGGATACAAACACTTCAGTCTACCTTTGAGTTAGATTTCTTTTATTAAATTAATACATTGGAATTCTGGTTAATTTCTTACAGTTGGATTAGTGAGATTCACCCTCTATGTGTCCAATTACTAACAGGTGGGCTGACAAAAGGATGTTTCCCCAATGACAAAACTAAGGAGCCAGACTTTAGATAATGGTACCACCACCCAAATACCACGTACTGAAGCTCTGTCTTGAATGGTTCCCTCACATGACATCTTTATACACAATAAACTAAATGAAATTAAATGAATATTTACCTAAATATTCAGGGAAGCAGGGGAAGCAAATATATTAATAAATATACCTATTGGTCAGATTGCATATTCTTTGATACACTTGACCAGTTTAACTGTTCTACTTTTTAACCTCTGGAAGACAATATCTTTCAATGGCATTTTTAATTCCTCTGAGCATTCCAATATCTTTCAATGGCATTTTTAATTCCTCTGAGCATTCTTAAAGTGCACTTTATAAAAGATGGGTATATACATTGTAGATACTCGAATTCACATATACTTTGCTAAAGCAGAACAAAAAGCAAAGGATAGACAGTAAAACCTTGGACCATGAGTAACTTATTCTGCGAGTAGTCCACAAGACGAGCAAACATTTCTAATAAATTTTAACTTGATAAACGAGAGATGTCTTACAATATAAGCAGTACATGACGCCAAATGTCACATGATCACAACTGAGCCAATGGTTCTTGAAATTCACTCTGATATACAAGTGCTTTGGATCACAAGCATGTTTCTGGAATGAATTATGCTCACACACCAAGGTTTTACTGATAGTCTTTGAAAAATGACAATTTGGAACTGACAGAGGATTCTCGATCAGTTAGGAAGCGAAATATATATAAGTAACACATTTCTTAGACTTGCTTCTTTACTCACAAATGGAACTTTTACCTGGATTTCTATCAAGCTGGGAAGCCAATCTGGTATTCGAATGATCCACTCGTTTTGTGCTGAAGAGGGCAAAACAACATTTTTACTAAGCCTTAATTAGAAAGGAGAAAACCATATAATTGAAGTTAAGTATTATCACTTTATGTATATCTCTGAGAAAAATCTATGATTGGCATATTGCTAAAACTCCTCAGTAGTGTAGTTTAGGGGTAAGGTTTTTTACTCTCCCACCTTCATTATACATAAACACAGCAGTTATCTCCTAACATGTTAAATTGAACAGTGGGTAGAAAGACATTAATGAGTTTAATGCAAAAAAAAAAAAAATTGATTAAAAATGTGTACCATATATAGTTCTTAGAGATATACAGTGCATGAAACATTTTTGCAAGGGGAAGGTACATCTATTAATGTCCAATGGTACAGTGTTCTTTAGAACAGTCGTTCCTAAAATGTGGTCCACAGAACTGGAAGCAGGGGCCTCAAGACCCTTTCAGGCAGTTTTCCAGATCAAAATGATTTTCATAACAATCTTGAGCTGTTACTGACTTTTTTCACCATGTCGACAAGTGTACTGATGGTGCGAAAGTAATGGTGGGTATAACTACCAGCACTTCAACTTGAATCAAAGCAGTGGTATCAAACTGTATTTTTTACTGCCACACATGCACAAGAAAAAAATAAAACAAAAATTCACATTTGAATTGAAAATGTCTTTAATGAAGCAATAAAAAAAATTAGTTTGGGGCGCCTGGGTGGCGCAGTCGGTTAAGCGTCCGACTTCAGCCAGGTCACGATCTCGCGGTCCGTGAGTTCGAGCCCCGCGTCGGGCTCTGGGCTGATGGCTCAGAGCCTGGAGACTGTTTCCGATTCTGTGTCTCCCTCTCTCTCTGCCCCTCCCCCGTTCATGCTCTGTCTCTCTCTGTCCCAAAAATAAATAAACGTTGAAAAAAAAAAAAAATTAAAAAAAAAAAAATTAGTTTTATTAAATCACACCTCCTCAGTATAGGTCTTTTTCATATTGTATGATGGTTGTCTCAAGGGATTGCATTTGTGCCACTGTTTGAATTGCAAGCTGCACTTGGTACTTTTTTTTTTTCATGGAACATCACTTTTACTGTGATTATTCAGACTTGCATACTTGACAGACATTTCTCAAAAATGAAGAAAGTGAGTCTGTCCTGTTGCCAATAACAAAATTCAAGTTTTTCAGCAAAAATCAGAATTTGGGAAAATGTATATTTACTACAATGAGTTTGAGAGCTTACCAACAAACACATTCCTTACACCTCCTTTCACCTTCTTATTAATGATCTTCTCCCCTTTGTATCCTAAGACCCTTACCTCTCTCCTTAGCTCATGTAAGTATCACGTTACATGTCTCTGGAATTTCCACATCTGTGTGGATTCCACATATGCACACTATTAAATTTGATTTCCTCCTGTTCATCTGTCTCATGTCAATTTGATTCTTAGTTGAGCTAGAAGGATCTTGAAGGGTAGAGGAAATTCTTCTTCCCCAACAACAGATATGGTTTTAAGACTCCATATTGCAACTAATCTTTAGGAAACTACCATGTGTCGACTTCTAGTGAAAGATCAAAGAGAAATATCCACAATTGTTTAAAAAGGCTATTAAAATACTTCTTTCTTTTCCAGCTCTGTGTCTGTGCGAGGCCAGATTTTCTCCATATAATTCAACCAAAACAACATATTGCAACAACAGATTGGTTGCAGAAGCAGTTATGAGAATCCAGCTGTCTTTTACTGAGCCAGACATTAAAGAGATTTATAAAACTACAAAAACAGTGACACTCTTCTCACTGATTTTTTTGCTGGTATAGAAATTACAGTAATTTTCATTAAAAACTGTTATTTATATTAACACATAATGGGTTTATCGTTGCTATTTTTAAACTAATTAATAAACATTTGAATTTTTCTGAGTTTTGATTTCTAACACAGTAAGTATCTGTAGATAAATCCTGTGTCAACAAAAACTCCTGACATTTCAATAACCGTGAAGAGAGTAAAGGGGTTCTGAGACCAAAACTGCTGCCACAGACAATATTTTGGACCAAAATTAAATAACCTGAGAACATCAGTAACACAGAAATTCATCAAAAAGAGAAACACCAAGTGTGGTTTTAGATAAAAGACCAGAGCAAAAGCTTCCAATCCACAAGCTATTCCACTGTTTAAAAGGTAAGACCGCTATTTTCACCTATTAGGTGCACTGATGTGCGAAAGTGTAGAGAGAAAAGAGGCAGTCATGGAGATGGCCCATAGAATTACAAATTAGTATAAGCTCTTTTTGAATCAATGTCAATACATGTTAAACGCCTTTAAAATGTTTAGGTTCTGTGACTCAGTAATTCCCCTTTTGGATAATCTTTCCAAAAGGAAGGGAGGGAGGGAGGGAGGGAGGGAGGGAGGGAGGGAAGGAAGGAAGGAAGGAAGGAAGGAAGGAAGGAAGGAAGGAAGGAAGGAAGGAAAGAAAGAAAGAAAGAAAGAAAGAAAGAAAGAAAGAAAGAAAGAAAGAAGGAAGGAAGGAAGGAAGGAAGGAAGTTTGGAGAGATTACACATAAGGATAGTTAGCAGGCATCAGATGAAACAGCTAGCCAAAGAAACTAAATCTAAATGGAGAAAATACTTTATGCACAGAGATGGTCATTAAAAAGTTCTGCTCATGAGAAACCAGATGTAATCTATAGAAAATTTAGCTCTACAAATAGATATTTCTCAGGAAACTATAACTAGTTATGACTGCTATAATGACATAACATTGTATAGCATAAAGTTTCAGAGCTGTATTAAGGTGGAACTCTAAGAAATAGCATTAAAAGAAAAAAGACAGAAAAAGGAATATATTCACCAAGAACTAGGTTTTTAAAAAATCTCAGGAAAAATGGCAGAGAAAATATAGAACAGTTACTCTGACTCTTCTAATTTTATGTGATTTTGAAACTTCAAGAGTATTTATAAAGTTTTAGCAAAATATTTCAACACAAAAATTATTAACCATGAAATATTTATGATAATGCTGTTGATAGTTTTTCCTAGTAAAAAATAGATAAAATTGGCTTTCAAATGCTTTGTTGTACTCACTTATAGTCTCTCTCCCAGAATTTGACAGGTCGAACATACGAAGTGATGAATATTGCACTTCCTAGAAAGGGATTTAGTGGAGTAGAAAAAAAGGCCGATACAGCAGCCTGAACAAACAACATGGCTGAATCTATAAAAAGCTGGTTAAGGACTTTAACATTCATTTGAGTGAGCACGCACACACACACAAATACATCTCACAAACACATTGCCATTACCGCAATGAAAACAATGTGAAGTTTGTCACAGGAATACAGAAGAGGGTGTCACTGGACAATATAAGGGGGTACAAGTAGGAAGACAAGCCAGGATAGTACAGCTTGGCATGATACTTTGAAGGGAATCAAATAAACATCTGCTAATACATATTTGGGAAAAGTCCATATATTACCCTGGGATCAAGATGCTGGCTTTAATTTTCCACAAGATAAAACTAAAATTTACACAAACAGAAAATCTGTCTTTCTATCCACGTAGTCACTAACCTTTACTTTTATTTAGAAAGTACTTTTAAGAAATAATGAGATTAGAAAATTTCAGACATAGTTAAATTACAATCATGATTATGAAAAATGTTTGTAATCTTCATTTAAAAATATTTCTAGGGGTGCCTGGGTGGCTCAGTCAGTTAAGCGTCTGCTGTTAGTTTTGGTTCAGGTAATGATCTCACGGTTTGTGGGTTCAAGTCCCGCATGAGGCTTTGTACTGACAGTGCGGAGCCTGCTTGGGATATATTTTATCTCTCTCTCTCTAAGTATTTAAAAAATATTTCTAAACATCTTGTATTTATTAAAAGTACTCATATCTGTAAACATAAAATTTTAAATCAGCATTAATTATAAAACTTTAATACTGTCCTCATGTTCAGATGATCTGTGGATGCACCCAAAGCACTGAGAATATTTGATAATTTATCACCTAGTAATTTAAATGTCTATAAACCAACATTCACAATAAGGATATGACCGCCCTTTCTTATACGACTTTTATTGGAAGGATACGGGGTACTGCAAAGGGCTGAGCAAAAGCATGGAAAGCAGAACCCCATGTAATTTGCCATGGGGCAATGTAAGTGTACACAAACTGCAATTTATAAAGGAGTTCCCAAAGCTGTAGGAGGAAAAGAAAAACAATCAGTAAAAAACTTATCAGATATTTGAATTAGAAAATGAAAGACCTTTAAAATATATTTTTTTCCTATAAGAAAATGGCACTGAATTTCATATTTGCCATTTGCATAAAAGGAAAAGATAAATCAACTGCCAAAACACTGAATATATACTTAAGTAAAGACAGCTAGCTGATTTATGGATTTGTGTTTCATCTGTTAAAAAAAATTCTATGCCCTCTATTGGCTATATTACTACTATTACAAGCAAAATTAAAAAAAGGTAGGACATTTAGATGTTTGCAAAGCTTAAGTAATTCATACATATTTTTATCCCTAAGACACATTCTCCTCAAATTGTAGTGCTTTGGAAACAGAGTATGTTTTAAATGCAATGTCAGAAGAAATTTGAAACCAGCCAGGCAGGAAATAAAGTTGTAATACAGTTGTCACTGCCTATTCGCCTAAGGATTTAGTAGTGCATATTAGGCACCTGATCATAACCTCAATTGGTATGGTCAATGGAAACACAACACACGTTTTAATTTTATGTAAATTAGTATTTGTTTTGTTGTCGAACACGTCTTCAACACTGAAACAGAATTACTGTGTTTGTCCAAAATTGCCTCTGCATGGCAGGCAATGCAAGGTCCAATTCACAAAACAGACACAGAATCTTAAAAACAAGAGGTTCAGACTAACTTGGTGCCATGATTCAGGCATCAAGCACCTCAATTAACTGAACGATTTCAGTTAATTTGCAAATGAACCTGTTTAACTCCCAATTAAAAACAAAGAAACCTCAACTTCAACCAATTAGAAAAAGCAGATGAACTCCTGCATTCTTCTCCGTGACTCAAATTTATGCCGGTGATCCTTGATACTAACATGATCAGGATGTCAGGAAGTAAAAGCAGTGTGTGTATTATCAAGATGCCATTATTCATGGTCTAAAAGCAGTGATTCAGAAAACTTCAGATTCTAAATATGAAACAGACTGAACTCAAATTTTGACTGTAACACTGAGGAAAAAATGATATGCAATTACATGGATAAGTGGGTAGTGGATAAAAATTTCTGTATACATTCATAGTAATTTTTTTCTTGTAAGATTATTAAATTGATGGTGCATCTTACAATGATATCTTAAAAACTATATCTAGAAATCTCTTAAAAATTACTTGCTTACTATCATTGTTAAATTCTATCAACTAACCTTACTAATGCAAACCCCTTAAGGGCAGAGCTTTCTCTATTTTGTTCACTGATGTAGCCTCAGCATCTAGAACAGCTGTGGAACACTGTATGCTCTCAAGAGCAATTTGCTTAACAAATGAAAGTATTAAGAAAATCCAAACTAATTCAAGTTAAGACTATTTCAAAGACTGTTTCTATTTTATTGCAACTTTCACTTTTTCCCCCAACAGTATACTAAAATGCCCTACAATTTCCAGTCTAAATATTTAAATTTGTGAGAAACCACATGCTTCTTTATACAAACAATTCTTTGATTAACTTTCTGGCTTCCTCCTTTGGTTAACCATGCTCACTAGAAGAGGAAATAAATGATAAAAATGCATACAAATTAGTGACCGAGCAAACATAATACTGCAATATTCTAGAAGCTACTTAGTACAACATTTAGCACAATATTTTGAAATGAACTATCACTAAAACCTGTTCAGATTAATGTTTTCCACTTGTACTATTCCCATCCTAGGTTAGACCTCTATCACATCTCAATTACTGTCACAGTCTCTTAAACTGTTCTCCATACCTTTGGGTTCTCTCTTCCCCAAGTCATCCCAATGTAGCTGACCAGGCTAACTTGCCTAAAATTGGGCTTTCATTGTGTTTTGTAGCTGCTCATATGCTTCAGCTCTCTGTTACCTATCAAATGGGATAATATATGTCAAAGTCCTTTGTATGTGGTCAGCGTTAACATGAAATCTAAACTCTATTTAATTTATAAATAATCTGATTGCACAACTTATTTCATTGAGAAAGGTAGTATGGTTCAGTAAAAAGATTCTTGGAATGGGAGGCAGAAGACCCAGATTTTGTCATCTCATTTGTAAAAGGACTAAAAGTACCTCTCTTATGGGTGGATAATAAATCTCAGAAGCATTTTGTAATTTTCAGAGTATTCTGCAAATGTCACCATGAAACTAATTTCTGATTCCTCCCACACGGCCTCACTGCCTTCAGTATTTACCATCTTCATTCAGCTATCAGGTTATTTCCTCCCTCCATCTATCTAGCAGCCCACAGCCCAGTGCAATTATTACAACATCTATTTCTAGGATTATTCAAAACCACATCCACTTTTGGAAGATCCTATGGATTTAAAAATACACAGCGAGTGGTGTTTCTCTAAATTTTCTATATAACTTAATCTTATCTTCCTAGCTATATAGCAAGAAACACGTCTTTTATGGATCATAGTGAGTAACATTGGTTAGGGATTCTACTATGCTTCTAAATGACTGGTTGACTGAAGAAAGATATTACTTAAAAGACAGTGAAGCAAATGGAATGCAAGCAGAATCCTCACTAAATGCTATATTACTTAGGGAGCTACTTTTTACCGATAGGGATATTCCTTTCAGTGACAAATTACCTTGTTGAAGAGTATAGACATGAAGAAGAGATCCAACAACATGGTCTCTGAAAACGCTTCATAGTCGATTTTGAAAAAGAGCACAGTGAAGAGGACTGTGACATACTGATATGTAGGGCTGCTGAAAGAGGATCGTAGCAACTTCAGACCAGCAATGGTGATCATTAAAGCACCTAATCTATAAGTTAAAGAAAGCACAACTCATCAATCAATGGCTGAAAACTTCAGAAAATCTACTAACTTCAGAAAAATCACTATTTCATTTACTATGCTTACGATACATTTACATCCAAAGTGAACTTCTAAAAATGATTTATACACCAAGCAAATCACATCCTAAAATAAACTCTTATATTCCCTTTTAACAATATGTATTACGATTCTTATTTCTTTATATAAATAAGCACACTTAAAAAAATAAATAACAGCATTGCATTTCTAATATATGGTTCTCCAGTTTCTTAATATTTGTATTACTTTAATAGTAATAGCATTTAGCACATAAAAAACATGTATTAACGCTTACCCAACAACACGTACCTAGTCTAGTGTGGAGGCCTATACAATGACCGTATAGGCGAGTGACCACCTACATAGTCTGGTTTACACAGTACACAAAAACAGACATCTCTCAAATTGACCGTCTAATAACAGAAATGAACCTTATTCAATAAATGTTCTCTCATAAAATATTAGTTGACAATAAGATGTCTAGAGTAGTGATATACAAGAGCAGGAACAGATGTTCAGGAATTTCACCTCACTTTTTTGTCTTATACTGCACTGCACTAATGAGACACTCAATTATTTGTTACTTGATCAATGTCTGAAGACACTGCCTATGACAGCCGCTAGTGGTTAAACATAGATGAGAGGAGGACTGTACTTACTCTGTATCCAGTTTTTTTGGACTAGCAATGGTCTCTGCACTGCTACTAAGTTCATTAAGAACAATCAATGGGTAGATGATATTCTTCTCCACAAAAAGAAGCCACACATGAAGTTTCTCAAACCACATCATAGTGGCTGCATCTAACAAGGCAATATAAGAAGATCACATCATCTAGTGTACAACATACAGGCATACCTCATTTTATTGAGCTTTACTTTACAGCACTTGGCAGATACTGGGGTTCTTTTTGGTTTTTTTCTTTGTTTACAAATTGAAGGTCTGTGGCAACTCTGCACTGAGCACGTCTATCAGCACCCTTTTCCAACAGCATCTGTCACATTTTGGTAATTCTTGCAATATTTAAAACTTTTTCATTATAATTGTATTTGTTACAGTGATCTATGATCAGTGACCTTTGATGCTATTGTTGTATTTGGGGATAACAAAAACTGGACCAATGTAAGACGGCAAACGTAACCAATAAATGTGTGTGTTCTGACTGCTCCGCTGATCCACTGTTCCCCCACCTCTCTCCCTCCTTTCAGGCCTCTCTATTCCTTATGATTAAAATTAGGCCAATCACTCTACAATGCTCTTTAAATGTTCAAGTGAAAGGAAGAATCACACATCTCTCATTTTAAACCACAGGCTAGAAATTATTAAGTTTCATGAGGAAGGCGTGTTGAAAGCCAAGACAGGCCAAAAGCTAGGCCTCTTGTGCCAAGCGTTAGCCAAGTTGTGACTGCAAAGGAAAAGTTCTTGGAGCAAATTAAAAGTGCTGCTCCAGTGAACGTACAAATGATAAGAAAGTACAGCCTTATTGCTGACATGGAGAAAGTCTGCGTGGTCTGCATAGAAGATCAAACTAGCCACAGCATTCCCTTAAGCCAAAACTTAATCCAGAGCAAGGTCCTAACGCTCTGCAATTCTTGGATGGCTGAGAGGTGACGAAGCTGCAGAAGAAAAGTCTGAAGCCAGCAGAGGTCGGTTCAGGAAGTTTAAGGAAAGAAGCCATCTCCACAACATGAAAGTGCAAGGCGAGACAACAAGTGCATATGTAGAAGCTGCAGCAAGTTCTCCAGAAGATCCAGCTAAGATAATTCATGAAGGTGGCTCCAGTAACCAACAGATTTTCAATGTGGATGAAATAGCCTTTTATTGGAAGAAGATGTCATCTAGGACTTTCATAGCTAGAGAGAAGTCAATGCCTGGCTACAAAGCAGCTGATAACTCTAAGTTGACGCCAATGCTCACTGACCATTGTGAAAATCCTAGGGCCCTTCAGAATGATGCTAAATCTACTGTACCTGTGCTCTCCAAGTGAAACAACAAAGCATGGATGACACATTTATTCATGACATAGTCTACTGAATATTTTAAGTCCAATGTTGAGGCCTACTGCTCAGAAAAAGAGATTCCTTTCAAAATACTACTGCTCGTTGGGGTACACCTGGGCAGCTCAGTCAGTTAAGTGTCCAACTTAGGCTCAGGTTATGATCTCACAGTTCGTGAGTTCCAGCCCCATGTCAGGCTCTGTGCTGACAGACAGCTCGGAGCCTGGAGCCTGCTTCGGATTCTGTGTTTCCCTCTCTCTCTCTGCCCCTTCCCAGCTTGCTGTCTCTCTCTCTCAAAAAAATAAATTAAAAAAATTTAAAAAAAAAACTACTGCTCATTGACAGTGTCTGCAAACAACATCTATTCTGTAGCCCATGGGGATTCAAGGAATAATTTTGACTTTCAAGTCTTATTTAAGAAATACATTTTATAAGGCTATAGCTGCCATAGACATTGATTCCTCTGATGGATCTGGGCAAAGCAAACTGAAAAACCTTCAGAAAGAATTCACTACTCTAGATGCCATTAAGGACATTTGCAATTCGTGGAAAGAGGTCAAAACATCAATATTAACAGAAGTTTGGAAGTTGATTCCAACACTCCTGGATGACCCTGAGGATTCAAGACTGCAGTGGAGAAAGTCACTGAAGATGTGGTAGAAATAGCAAGAGACCTAGAATTAGCAGTGGAGCCTGAAAATGGGACTGAACTGCTGCAGTCTCAGGATAAAACTTGAATGGATGAGGAGCTGCTTCCCACGGATGAACAAAGAAAGTGGTGTCATGAGATGGAATCTACTCCTGGTAAAGATGCTGTGAAGACTGTTGAAATAACAACAAAGGGTTTAGAATATTACATAAACATAGTTGATAAAGCAGTGTAGGATTTTGGAGAACGACTCCAATTTTGAAGGAAGTTACTTACACTGTGGGTAAAATACTATCGAATAGCATGCTACAGAGAAATCACTCGTAAAAGGAGTCAACTGATGTAGCAGACATCATTGTTGTCTTATTCTAAGAAATTGCCACAGCCACCCCAACCTTTGGCAACCACCATCCTGATCAGTCAGCAGCCATCAACACTGAGGTGGGGGCCTCCACTAGCAAAAGGATTACAACTCGCTGGAAGCTCAGATGACGGTCACCATTTTTTGGCAAGAGAATTTTTTTAAAAAGGTATGTGCACTGTCTTTTTAGACATAATGCTCTTGGCACACTTATTAGACTACAGGGTAAACATAGCTTTTATATGCATTGGGACACCAAAAAATTGACTTGTCTTGCTTTATTGTGATATTCACTTTATTGCAGTGGTCCACAACCAAACCAGCAATATCTTCCAGGTATGCCGATAGTTTGGCAAAGTGATGTGAAAGGAAAATCTTACAGCACAAACTTGTCTGTGCTATAAATAAATAATGTAAGAAATCCAGTATTTCAATCAGTTGTCAACTTCTATGAATTCTGATACACGTTCAGTTTTGCAACTTAGATGTGACTTAAATTTAGATGAGGGGCGCGAGGTGGCTCTGATCTCAGCTCAGGTCATGATCTCTTTGTGAGTTTGAGCCCTGCATCAGGCTCTGCACTGTCATCAGATAGCCTGCTTGGAATGATATGAATTCCCTTTCTCTTAGCCCTTCCCCCGCTCATTCTCCCTCTCTAAATAAACTTAAAAAATTTTTAGATGAATTTCCTTTTAAATTTTAATTCTTGGCTCAGGTCATGATCTCACAGTTCGTGGGTTCGAGCCCCGCATCGGGCTCTGTGCTGACAGCTCAGAGGCTGGAGCCTGCTTCACATTCTGTGTCTCCCTCTCTCTCTGCCCCTTCCCTGCTCATGCTGTGTCTGTCTCAAAAATAAATAAACATTAAAAAAAAATTAAAAAAATAAATAAATTTTAATTCTTGAAACCTCAATTTTTAACCATAACTTTTTCTCATTTATGCCTATAACTTCTGGGGAAAAGTTAGTAAGATTATGAGACTGCCCTTTCTCCCAAAAAGAAATAAATGACCTACTAAAATTATCTGTTTTTAAAATCTTAAAGTACGTGTGTGTACGGGCATATGTATGTGTGTATCTTATGTACATCTTGGAACATATACGAAAGTATGATATGTTTTAGATTCACACACTTCATAGAAGTCATTGCACTGTCAGTAATGTTTTTTATAATACTTTTACCTTATTTCATTGGGGAAAGTATCTAGGATAAACCGAAAGATTTAAAATAAGGTTCTCTAGCTATCTGAAAACATAGCTGGCTTCAGGAAATGCTCTAATGAATAATCTTTTTCTTTTCATTGCTAAAGTCAATAGAAGGGAAAAGAAATAAACTTTGCTAATACCTAGTGCTTTCAATAAGTCAAACATGTTATACTGATTCAAAATTTATAAAACTTTAGACTCAATATTTTGTTAAGATCAAAAAAGAAATAATTATGATCAATGACTTACTGTAAGGAAAACTGCTCTTCAAAACAAATTGGATACACTTGCTATTTTTTATATATGAAAGCAATACTAACAGTTCACTATCAAAATAATACATCATTCTACTAAGTTCTTTTCCTGACTGTATGAAAGAACCAGTACAGATTGTCATACAGCTTTATGTCATTTTCTCTTAATTTTTTAAATTTTTGTTTATTTATTTTGAGAGAGAGAGAAGAGGAGGGACAAGGAAGGAGGAAGGGAAAGGAAGGGAGAGAGAGAGAGAGACAGACACACACGGAGGGAGAGGGAGAGAGAGAATCCCAAGCAGGCCCCGCACTGTCAGCACAGAGCCTGACGCGGGGTTTAAGCCCATCAATCATGAGATTATAACCTGAACCGAAATTAAGAGTCAGACACTCAACCGACTGAGCCACCCAGGTCCCCCATGTCATTTTCCCTTATTAAAAGGACACATAAGAAGTATGCACAATGCCATTACTGCAACCTACAGGTTAATGTTTCATTATCTCTTCAGGATCAAACTGGTGACCAAGGTTTCAGTCCCGTGATGCTCTAAGCAATTTTACTAAAAGGCCCGAGAAATTTGCTTTGAAAATGCAAAGTCAAGTTTGTAATAGAAAACTTCCAAAGTCTTCAGAGTTCTCTAAACAAGTTAATTTATCTTCAAATAATTGAGGAATTTACTCTTTATAGTAATTCATTAACTGAAAAAAAGGTTTGAGGAAAAACCACTGGTTTGTTTAATCATTGATATATAATGAATGATGACATAGTTATGAACTTTTATTATTTCCCTAAAACGAGCAAGTATGGGATATTGCAAGTCATGGGGCCAATGAAGAAAGACCAAATACTTACAATAGGAAAGACAAGTTAGGATTTAAAGTGGACTGGCCTTCTACCTCTTTCTGAGTCATTTTATGCTTTACCCCAAAATCTGAACAAGAACAATTACAAATGTTTTAAACTTCTTTTCATCCCATCAACTCTTTTATACCTTTCTCTGGTAGGACATAGTGTCTCTGGTGGAAAGAGGAACAAAATTCTCTCTATTCCCCCTATGCTTTGAGCTAAAAATATTTCAAATAGAAATCTTAAGGAGGACTGGGTTGCCTGTACACAGAAAAGATTTAAGGAAAGGGTAAGGACTGGAAAGAGAAGCCACAAACATGCACAGAAGGATTTGTCAATGAGAGGTCTAGGAAGAACAATACAGAGAGGAAGTAAATTTTATTCTGTGGAAGCCGGGATTGTAGCATTGACATTTATACTTCAACTGAAATTAAAGCATCCTGAAAAAGGTTTGACTCATCACAGCTTCAAATCTAAGTATAACAAACACAAGCCACAGTGTTACTTAATGATACTTATTTAATGGTCTCTGTTAAAGTGTAAAAAAAAAAAAAAAAAAAATCCACAATATTAAACAGAGGAGTATTAGTGAAATACTTACTCCGAACTTCGTATTGATTATACTCCACTGTCTTCAGCAGAGGGTGAGAAAAACAGTGCCATGGTAGCTGTTTTCTAACTTGAGGCAGCACATAATGGGTTACAAAACCTACAAAGCCGACCAATGCATATAACACATACTTGAGAGCAGGCTAAAAGAAGAATAAAATTGAGAAAATTAAAAGTGATTTTGAGAACCATAGAACTCCTAATGTGTCAGTCCAATTTCTACTTATTAACAGAAAATAGCAAAGTCAATTTGAGAAGGTAAGAACTAAAATCTGTCAACATTTTACACTGTTTTATTATGTAGTTTTTCTGAAACTTGTACCAGCGTTGCCCCATACGATCAATCGATACAGAGAAAAGTGGTGGTATGTCACATCCGACATCAATTACTAAATGATGTCTTGGGCTTTCTCTCTCTAGGATCACTGGCTCTGGGGGAAACCAGCTGCCCTTCTGTGTGGATACTCAAGCAGCTAATGGTAAGGGCACATGGAAAGGACCTTAGATCTCTGGCCAATGGTCAGTAAAGAACTAAGTCTTACTAACAGCCTCAGTTGATGGCAGCCCCAAATAACTGCAGCATCATAACATATCCTGAACTAGGACCATCTAGCTGAGCTACAATTATAATCAGATTCACGACTCAGAGAAACCATGAGAAAACAAATATTTGTTATTAAAACCAAACAAAACATCATATATTTCAGCATTATGGACAAATGTTATAATAAAAAAATTAGCCTAAACAAAATTATTTTCCCCCAATCAAAAGATCAAAATGATTCCTTACCTGCAACACTGTGAACACCGTGCTTACATGAATAGCAAAATACAGCACACCAATTACAATGCATACTACTAGGTCAGATTGTAAACGCTCACTCTGTGGAAGAAAACAGAATTAGCCAACAATTACATAAAATTTTAAAAATATGTATTTTTTATTCCCAACTGGCAAAATATAAGAAATAATTTTTCATTGACCCTATTCTTCTAGATAGCTCTTATACATAACAATTGGCTATAAGTCTTTTCTTCTTCAATTTCCTGATATCTTGGTTTAATACTGCAATACCAAGGAAATTAAGCTAGTTCCACACATGGAAGGAAAACTTCCAAACTCTTTCTATGAAGCTAACATTACCTTGATTCCAAAACCAGACAGAGACCACACTAAAAAGGAGAATTATAGACCAATTTCCCTGATGAACATGGATGCAAAAATCCTCAACAAGATATTAGCCAACCAGATCCAACAATACATTAAAAAAATTACTCACCACGACCAAGTGGTTTATACCTGGGGTGCAGGGCTGGTTCAATATCCACAAAATAATCGATGTGATACATCACATCAATAAAAGAAAGGACAAGAACTATATGATCTTCTCCATAGATGCAGAGAAAGCATTGGACAAAATACAGCATCCTTTCTTATTAAAAGCCCTCAAGAAAGTAGGGATAGAAGGATCACACCTCAAGATCATAAAAGCCATATACGAAAGACCCAATGCTAATATCATCCTCAATGGGGGAAAACTGAGAGCTTTCCCCCTAAGGTCAGGAGCAAGACAGGGATGTCCACTCTTGCCACTGTTATTCAACATAGTATTGGAAGTCTTAGCCGCTGCAATCAAACAACACAAAGAAATAAAAGGCACCCAAATCAGCCAGGAGGAGGTCAAACTTTCACTCTTTGCACATGACATGATACTCTATATGGAAAACCCAAAAGATTCCACCAAAAAAAGTGCTAGAACTGATTCATGAATTCAGCAAAGTTGCAGGGTATAAAATCAATACACAGAAATGGGTTGCATTCCTATACACCAACAATGAAGAGGAAGTGAAATCAAGGAATCAATCCCATTTACAATTGCACCAAAAACCATAAAATACTTAGGAATAAATCTAACCAAAGAGGTAAAAAACCTATACACTGCAAACTATAGAAAGCTTATGAAAGAAATTGAAGACATATATAAAAAAAAAAAAGGGGGGGAAATATTCCATGCACCAGTATAAGAAGAACAAATAGTGTTAAAATGTCAATACTACTCAAAGCAATCTACATATTCAATACAATACCTATCAAAATGACAACAGCATTCTTCACAGAGCTAGGACAAATAATCCTAAAATTTGTATGGAACCAGAAAAGACCCTGAATAGCTAAAGCAATCTTGAAAAAGAAAACCAAAGCAGGAGGCATCACAATCCTGGACTTCATGCTGTACTACAAAAGCTGTAATCATCAAAACAGTATGGTACTGGCACAAAAACAG